ACCACCAAAATAAGCACCACAACTCAGAGTTTCACCCTAAACTAAAATACCAACATCACAAAAATAATTATGACATTTAATTTAATCCTCTAAGCATAATTGATATCAAACACACAATTTAATTTCAACAATAGCAAACTTTGAAATAAGAGTTACACGCATCATGTAATTTCAATTTGAAATATAATTAAATTGATTTAATACAACTTAAGAAATTGATCCCAAATTAATAGAGCCCTAATACTATTCGAATAACAATCAGCATTTGATAAAACCTGAAACATAGTTTGACTCAAAAAAATTAAGGATTTAATTTCGATAGAAACAAACTTAGTTATGAGATGAAAAAATCACCAAAAAATTGTAGATGAATATCATGATAGCGCAAAAGGTTAATTAAAGACAACCTACAAAATTAAAACAAAATTTGAACGCATTAGACAAATAGTAGTAGATAGCATGGCTTTGAGAAATAGTAATAGACAACATGAATTAGACAAATGGAACATGTAAGACACCATGAGTTATAGAAATAGTAGTATGATGCGGTGAATTAGAGAAATAGTAGACACCATGACTTAAACAAATTGAACACATTAAACACCATGGCGAGAAGTTATCTCAATATAGAGATCCTACTTCCTCCAAAATCTATTGCCTAGTTGATTTTATTCATCAATTTAGCCCTATTCAAAGGATAGTCAACAACATAATTTGAATTCTCTATTTATTTTCTTAACATAGAAAAAATGCACTCCGCTAGTTATCTATGCTTTCTATTTCTAAGAAGTTAGCACCAAAAAATTACACATTCAACACACTTTATTTTATCCAAACTGCACACTAACAAAAATGGGTGGACCTTCTATGCAAAGTTACAGATGCAACACAAATTTTGCCCAAGTGCTGAAACCCACAAACAAAATTCAACTAGTTTTTTTTCAAAATTGAACAATGAACACAAAAAGGGATAAAGTATTTCAAAAATCTTAGTTCCAAGCTCTTGCTCAATCCTATACTATCAGAAAAGGCATAAAGTATGCTTGGATCACTTCAACATATTCAAGCAAACTCACAGTAGTTATAGTACTCCACTTTAACCAATTGTCGATACCAAAATAAATGAAAAAAATCAATGAATAAAGCAAGAAATTCCCTATCTAACCCTCAATAAATAAAGAAAGTAAAAAGGCAAGAGGAATTCTAAGTATTATACAATTGGAAGCAATCCAAACTTCAACACATTCGTTATCCTCTACAATTAGTACCTCTACTTGCAATAAAATGTAACTGTAATTACAACTGTTCAATTTAAAAAGTGAATACATGCCCGCATAAAAATTAAAAGAAGGGAGAAAAAAAATGGTCTAAGATGCTACTTAAGACAATTTAGTTTGTTAGAATCAAATCAACACTAAGTTTCTCTTCATTTGTCTTATTGAACTAATAAAAATCCAATGAATCACATCAGTTGTGTACGGACTTTGAGTTTATACAAATCATATGACAATTGAAAGTGAAACCAGGGAGGACATATTTCCATCAAGTTTGTAAATAGTGTGCCTAATTACGGTATACACTGTTAAGTTGAGAGAATTAACACAATATTAGATAGAAATAGAGAGGGGTCAAAACTCAACCTCTCATACATCACTTGTATTTATAATTAACTTACAATAATCAGAAAGACGAATACACCCTCTAATATTTACACATACTACCATAATACTCTTAACACTTTCCCTCAAACTGGACTATATATATCATATAATCCAAGTTTAGAATAAATTGTTGTAAGACGTGTACGACTCAATGCTTTGATAAGCGTACCTGCAAGCTGATCTTCAGATTTCACAATTGGAGTCATAATCTCTCTAGCTATTATCTTGTCTCGAATAAAGTGACAATCAACTTCAATATGTTTGGTTCTCTCATGAAACATTGGATTGACAATGATATGGATAGCTGACTGGTTGTCATAGAACAACTATAAAAGAGGTTGAACCGAAAATTCAGTTTCCTAAAGGAAATGTAGTAGTCAAGTCAACTCACTCGTCATATGCGTCATTGCCCTATACTTAACCTCAGCACTAGATCTTACTACCACAAATTATTTCTTATTTTTTCATAAGACAACGTTACCTCTTAAGAAAGTACAATAACCAGTAGTTGATCTCCGATCAAAAGGATAGTCAACCCAATCAGCATCTGAGGAACCTTCTACTCTAAGATGTCCATTAGCTCAATATAACAGTCCAAGGCTAGGGGCACGTTTGAGATATCGCAGAATACGAATAACTACCTTTCAATGGGGTACTCTAGGACATCTCATAAACTGACTTACTACACTAAATGCATAGGAAATACTCAACCGAGTAATAGTGAGATAATTGAGCTTCCCAACCAATTTGCAATACCGACCTAGATTTTCAAATAGTGCACCATCATCCATTAATAGTTTCTAATTTAGATCGATAGGAACATCAATTGGTCTGCCACCCAACAAACCTACTTTCTCTAGCATATCAAGTATATATTTTTTTTGAGATAAACAAATACCCTGTTTAGATCGATCCACCTCAATAACCAAGAAATACATAAATTTTCCCAAATTCTTATTTTAAAATCGATTTTGCAAAAAGATTTTTAACTTGACAGTCCCCTCGCAATCATTTTCAGTAATCACAATATAATCTACATAAACCACCAATAGAACGTATCCAACATCCGTCTGTCTATGAAACCCATAATGGTCTATTTGACATCGAAGAAAACCAAATTATAAAACTGCATCTGAAAACTTACCAAATCATGTCCTCGATGACTGCTTCAAATCATATAAAGATTTCTTTAACTGACATACACTCTTACTGTACTCCTCCTAAGCAGTAAATCTAGGTGGTTGCTCCATGTATACCACTCCAACCAAGTCACCGTATAGGAAGACATTTTTGACATCTACCTGAAACAAGGGCCAACAAGATTAGCAGCTAAAGAAATCAAGATACGAACAAATGAAATTTTGACAACAAGAAAGAAAGTCTTCTCATAATCAACATCATAGGTCTGAGTAAGCCCTTTGCAACAAGCCAGACTTTAAGACGCTCTACAGAACCATTCAGATGAAATTTAACAGTATACACCTAATGACAACTAACAGTTCGTTTACCAAGAAGTAAAGAAACAAGATCCCAAGTCACATTATAATGTAAGACAGTTATCTCCTCCTCCATAACTTTCCTCTAACCAGGGTTAGATAATGCATCTTGTAAATACTTAGGAATATATATATATATATATATATATATATATATATATATATATATGAGATAATTGAGAGGTAAAACAAGAGATGACAGGAGACAAAGCATCATATGAAATAAAATGAGCAATGAGATGATTAGTAACACACGAACGGGTACCTTTTCGAAGAACAAAAAGTAAAGAGTCTAAATTACCTGATGTACCAGGATCAGAAGGTGGCAAGGAAGACAGTACTAGCACCTTAGTCAATGGGTGAGGACGATGAGAATATACACGAAGAGGTAATGTAGATGATAACATAGTAGGCAGCGGAATATCAGAAGATGAAGGGAGAGATGGTGGTACAAGAAACAAACCAAAGTCCAAATCCAAAGGCTAAGTAGGTGCCAAAAAATATAGAACAGATTCCTCAAACGTGACATCAACACTAGTAAAGTATTATCATAGAGAAGGACTATAACAATGATACACCTTCTATGTGCAGGAGAATCCAAGAAATACACATTTGTTTGCTCGAGGGTCTAGTTTATCAAACTCAGGACCTAGATTGTAGACATAACAGACACATCCAAAACTCTTAGGTGTTACAGAAAATAAGGACTACCAGAAAATAGAATATAATATGGACTTTGTCCATTTAACACAAAGGATAGTATACGATTAATAAGGTGACAAGCAGTAAGAACACATCACTCCAAAAATATCAGAGAATATTTATCTAAAATAACAGGGCATGGGTGACTTCCAACAAATGACCGTTCTTGCGTTCAGCAACACCATTCTATGGAGAGGTGAAAACATAGAAAGTCTGATGAATAATGCTAGTTTTATTAAGATAAGCTAAAAAATGATCAGATTTATATTCCCGAACATTATCAGAACATAAAATACATATATGACAACTATACTGAGTTTTTATTTCCTTGCGAAATGTCTCAAATATTGAGAATAATTCAGAACAAGCTTTTATCATAAACAATCAGGTCACACAAGAATAATCATCTATAAATAACACAAAATAAGGATATTTATTAAATAAAATATTTTTATTGGACTCCATACATCAGAATGTACCAACTCAAATAGACTAGATACATGATTATTGACTCTAAACTGAAAGAACACATGGTGATGCTTACTAAGTTGACAAGTTTCACAAGATAAAGACGACACATAACTAAGAATGGGAACCTGACACTTCAGATTCTAGAGAGAGGAATGTTCAATACGACAATGTCATTAAAAAGGAGAAAATGATGTCTGTAGAGTCCGAGTAGGTGAATCAAAATCAAAATAATATAGGTCACCAACTTCATGCCCCGTATCAATCTTCCTCTTCGTCTTGAGATCCTGAAATACACAATAAGAGGGATAAAAAGTTACGGAATAATTAAGAGAACGGGTAATCTTGCTAATAGAAAGTAAACTAAAAGAAATTGAGGAACAAATAACTCGAAGGATAGGGACATATCAGGACTCAAGTGGGTAGTCCCCAAACCTGAAATTTTAGAACAAGTACCATTAGCAAGAGCAACACTATGTGCGAAAGTAGTAGGCTGATAAGTAGAAAAAATACGAGACGCACCAGTCATACGGTCAGAATTGCCAGAGTTTATGATCTAGGGACTGGGAGTGGAGGACAATAAACAAGTGGAAGTAGTACCTGACTAGGCAAAAGTAGTAGTGGAGGGAGATGGAACATCCTATTAGTGGGATAGGAATTGGGCATACTTCTTTCATGTAATAATAACCAATCCAATGTCTAGTGGAGCTAACTGAGGTATGGAAGCAACAACCGAGGTGTCATCCTGATAGGAAGCCTGATTAGCAGCAGCAGAAGGTTTTTCATATAAATCCCAATAGAAATCAACAGATTGCCCTCCACGACCACTGTGAGTACAAGAACAGGGTCTACTATGGCCCCCACGACCACCCATACGACTTCCTCGACCACCATTTCCACCTCGATAACCGTCACTGTGGCTACTAGGAATCACAAGAGCTAAGCAATTAGTGGAGAAACCATGATCAATACCTGAAGGAGTAGACAAAGTAGCACGCTGTAAATGAGAGAAAACCTCAAGCAACGAGGAAAGACTATAACCACCCAAAATCTGAGAACGAATAGCTTTATATTCAGGTTTAAATCCTACCAAAAATCTAACAACATTCAGATTCTCATGTTGCTTCTACCAAACTGTTGCATTAGTAGTAAACAGATGATAGATCTTCATTTGCTCACAGACTCCCCAAACGTGAGAGTAATAATTCTCAAGTCTCAGAGTACCCTGCTCTAACCCAAAATACTCCTTCCATACCTCATAAGCATAGGTAAAATTACCTGTACCAGAATACATAGTGACCAAGTGATCACATATCTTTTTGGCAGTGTCAAGATAGAGTAGAGAAGAGCTAATACTAGGCTCAATGATGTTTAACAATAAAGAGATAATTTGAGCGTCCTCTTATTCCCACTGATCATACCCAAGAGTGTCTTCCTTGGGTTTAGGATTAACCAAGTATTTCTTAAAACATTTACCTCGGAGGAAGACTTGAACAGAGCAAGACCATAAAGTATAGTTGGTCCCATTAAGTTTAACAGAAGTCATGGGACCGTTGAGAAGAGTTGGAGCAGTAGAGGTAGGTGGCAAAGATAGAGTAAGGGAGTTGGCATCTCGCTTGGGTTCTATAACAATGCAGCAAATAAGAAACAAGAGAGTCTTACTATGGGTAGATCGCTGAACATGACACATATCAGCTATTGGACCGTTGAACCAGAGATGGAGAGGCTACTGGAAGGCTGAACCGGGCTGGAGAATCAAGCTGGAACACTGAATCGGACAACCTGGGCTCACTGGACTAATGAACTGGAGTAGAAATTGATTGAAATGGTCTAAACCGGTGAAAAAATAGCTAAACCAGACTAAAGAAACTAGCTGGACTGCTAAATCGGAGCTGCACCTGACAGAACCAGTCTGAACTGATAAAAACTTGAATTGGGATCAAACCAGGACTGAATTAGTCTAGGTTGGACCGGGATTGAACCGGTCTAGGCAGGACTACAAGTTGGACCTAATCTGTTTAGGTTGGATCAGGTCTGGTCTGGGTAGGACCAGAGATTGAATTGGGTTGGATCATGTCTGGCTTTTAGGCTGGACCAAAGATTGAATTGGGCTGGACCAGGTCTGGCTCTTGGCCTGGACTTGAAATAATTTAAACCCGTGGACTTGGGTGTTAGTTCGGGTCTTGTATCCAAACCCATGGAGTCGGGTTTGGACCTTGTCTTCCTCGTTGATTAGGGTTTCAGAAGAACTGGTCTTCGACGGTGGCGCCTAACAGCTACACCACCACGAACGACAGCACCTCCACGATGACAAACGACAGTGCCACAATCGACGACAACGACAACAACTCCACAACTCACAATCAATAGTGCCACAATCGACACCACCATAATCGTCAACGCCATATAGGCCACCACAACAACAGCACCACCACGAACAACACCACTACACTAGACAACACAACAACCACCAACATCCACAAAGGCCACCACAAGGGTTTCCACCACCACGATGGCTTCGACGACAGCACCACAACCAAACTCGGTAGCCTTAAAAAAAATTAATTTATTTAGGATCATAATTACTCTGATATCATGTTAAGTTAAGAGAATTAACACAATATTATAAAGAAATAGAGATGGGTCAAAACTCAACCTACCTCTCATACGTCACTTGTGTTTATAGTTAACTTACAATAATCAGAAAGACAAACACACCCTCTAATATTTACATATACTACCCTAATACTCTTAATAGTTTACACATAATACTCTAATACTCTTAACATACACAAATTCAATACCACAGAGAATATTAACCACCCACTTAGACAGTGCAAGGCAAGAGCCCAAAGTTTTCCGATTAATGAAACCCTTACCTTCTAAAACTATCTGAGTAGGAGTATTAGCCTTTTCCCGATGCATAACTGAGCATTCTATTTTGCCAATATTTCTCCTTTCTCTAACGGATGTCTGGATGGTTTTAAGAATTAGAATTAGTAATTGAATATTGATCTACATGTGTAATTGGAATAGAAAGAAATATTTTCCTGTAATAACATAGTTCATATAAAAACAAATATTCATATGTAATGTGTCGCGTTTAAGAAATGAGCAAAACGCCTTTATTGATCCCAAAAGCAAATTTAATCAAGGTACAACAATAACATAAAATAAAATAATATAAAACCATGAAACAAATAGAAGATACTTGTTTTCGCTCTCTCGACTTGGTTGTTTCGTGACCTGAGTTCTGTTTCCACAAAAGAAAGGGAAGCATAGAAAAATATATTATCTCAAAAACCAAAATCTAACACTTGTTTCATTAGAATTAGAATTACAAAATAACCAACACTAACAACTACTTGCAGAATCATGGATTGACAACATCAAAATTAAAAAATCAAGAATACCAAATCAGAGGCAAATTCAATCCATGGCAACGTCAAATTCCATTATGCATTTGACAGATTTTGAGAAATCAATAATTGTAAAAATAATTTCCATATGTTCTTACCAGTTTTTATGACTAACAGTAGTGTTTTAAGATGTCATCGTCGTCATAGGAGCAGTGTCATCGCTAGCCAATGGAGTTGCGCCGTCGCTAGTCGTTGGAGATAAGATGTCGATGGCCACTACCCCATCGCAAAATTCAACCCAAAAATATAAATGTTGGCGTCAAAAAAAATAAGTTCACAAAAATAAAATCAAAAGAGAGCATTAGCCAACTCTTTGAAGCAATAATATAAACACCGAGTGTTCGGTGGACTGTCGTGGGTTTCATTGGCAGTGTGTGTGTGTTTGGGGGGGAGGCGTTGGTTAGCTAGGAGGTTTCGATGGCACTGGTGGAAGGATAGTGGGTGGAGGTGTTCATTGGTTTCGAGGGGTTGTGGTGGGTTTTGGTAGCAGTGGAAGGTGGGGAGGAAGGGATGGTTTCAGTGGTTTTCTCTAAGTGTGTGTGAGAGAGAGTGAGAGAGAGGATGCCTGTGAGAGAGAGAGAGAGGCTAAACAAAGATACAAAAGGAAGGAGAGGAGTAGAGTAGGGGGTTTTCTGGGTTGGGGTTTTCGGGAGGGGGTTCTGGGTTGAAGTGAGAGAGAGAGAGAAATAGAGAACAAAAAAAGAGAGAGATAGAGAAAAAATTAAAAAACAGAGAGAGTAAGAAAATCGAACCTTGTAGCAGGGTTGATGGTAGCAACGCGAAAGGGAGAAACGTCTTCAAAGAGTCCTGAAATGATACGTAGAGTGAGGGATAGACATCTTTAGAGATCTAGAATGAGATGCCTCTAGAAATTTAGGGATCAATTAGAATCAATAATTGTTAAGAGATCTGAGTCGCAAAAAGTTAAAAAGACAAAGAAATCTAGCTACTTTATTTTTTATATATATACTAGTCATAACTCGTACCTAAATGCATGATATTACTCATAAATAAGTTACAAAAATTTGTCCATGCACAAATGCAAGGTATATCACAACATTTTAGCAAACGATGATGAAAATGAGCTCATTCACATCTCCTCACAATTTCGATAAAATACATTCTAAAAACATATTATTTGACTAACATCAACCTGCATGCATAACATATATAATCAAATCTTTATGCAACAAAAATCATGTTATAACTAATGAAACATAATAATTTAAATATCTGAAAAAATATGTCAATTGACAATGTTCATTTATGATTCAACATCCATCGAGCATACATGAGAAACAATATAACCAATGCGAAAATCAAATCTTGAGTAGAACCCAATGAACAATTCTGAGTGTAAATAGAAACAATATAACAAATGCAAAAAAAATTAAGCTTATATTAAAATTAAAACAAAACTAACCTTGCACATGCACAAAAGAAAATATTGAGTAGAACTCAATAAACAGTTCCAAGTCTTAATATTAACAATATAACCAATGTTCAAATTCCAAACCATATAACTAATGCAAAAAAAATTAAAACTTATATTAAAATTCAAGACAAAAAGTACCTTGCACTTGAACAAAATCAATACTTGAATAGCACCAAATCACCCGAATTCAGTGAATTTTCCGCAGCAAGAATCTAATTCGTCGAACTCTCGAACCTAAATTATAAAATACTTGTCCACCCAAAACCAATACTCCAAAAAAAAAATTATTAACCACCAAATGATTTTAATTGAAATGATTGACATTAGTTTAAAATTAACAGTCCCGTAATCGAAATTCTCACTTGATGATTTTTTTCAGTCACAAAATTTATCTATGATTGAATTCACACTAAAAATAAATATGTGAATTGAAGCATGAAATTGGACCATACTATAATCGAATAGCACAAAACTAAAATACTATAGGGTAAAAATCAGTAAGAATACAACGCCTACATACATAGTTCACATACATGAACAAAAACACAAGTGCATCTTTGCATATGGAACAAACTAATGAGGTTGTGCATCCATGCATTGCAACAACACATGTATATGTGCATGTGTGAAAAGAATTTCAATCCATGTATAGCATATAGCAGCAACATTCATGAACAAAAACACAATTTAAACATCCCACTAACTCAGTCGTATCACTCTCATAATCCAAGGGAGTAGAGATGGAGCAAAAGAAGACATCCCACCGCCTCAGCTGTATCATTCTCATAACCCATTCATCGCCTCAATCGTAATCAAAATCAGTTATGTGAATTAGTGTATTTGCTGCTCAAGTATTGAATTTTAGAATTTTTTTTGTTAATTATGTGTTATTTATTCCAAGTTGGTTTCTTATTTTTTAATGCTAATTATGTTGATTGTGATTTTGAGCTATCTCAATTGGTTACTTGTATGGATCTGCCCATGGGGTTGAACTCTGTAATGGGTGGACTAGAATTTCATATCAAACTCCTCTCAAGTCAAAGTGTACACATCTAAAGGCTAAAAAATAAGCAATTACCTTCATTTCTAACACTTTGTGCCATCAATTTTTTTTATTAGTTTTCAAAACTGACCATGAAATGTTTGTCTTTTGTACTTTGAATATTGGTTGGATTCTTTTTTTCTAGTTTTGTTATTAGGAAATAGGAATCAAATTTCTAGATTGAAAAACTTTAGAATATCTTCAGAAGGTTCCCTTATGGTTTCCACGAAATGATTTCTAGTAATCATTTGAGTTTGAGCAATTATTAGGTCACTTATGGTTTTTTTTTCAATATGATTTGTACAGAGCAAAATCATCTCTAATCCCTTGGGTTAATCTCACCGAAATCAATAAACTCCAATTCATAACCCATAAACTCAAGAAAATCAAAACCCCCAAATGGGTTAATCTCAACACCAAATTAAGAAATTTTAGATTCATAATCCACTAATTCAGAAAGTTTTAAGCTTATATTGAAATTAAAAAAAAAAAAAAAACTCAACTTACAAGAGTAGAAATTAAAATATTGAGTAGAACACAACTGGTAGATGCAATGTAGCTTGCTCTGCGGCCAAAATTTTGTTCAGACTACCAACTGATAAAAGCACAACCAAGCAAAATGCAATAAATTTCAAATCCAAGAAAGATATTTATATGAAGCATAAACCAAATTCGTAGCATTCAATCATTCAATTTTTACAATTTTTAAATACAAATACAAACAACCAAGCTTGTAGTCCTCTTCTTTGTTTTATGTTTATATGTTAGAATTGAAAATTAGAGTTTATAGTCCTCTTTTGTGGTTTATTTTTTAAATGTTGTATTGAAATTAGCGCCTGTAACTCCCTATTGTATTTTATTTGTTGCATGTTGAATTGAAAATATGAAATTGAGGCTTGTAATCATCTCTTATGTTTTATTTTTTATGTATTGAATTGAAACTAAAATTTGTAGTCTTGTATTTATTTTTCTATGGTGAAATAAATTTGGGGTTTGTAGTCCTCTTTTATGATTTATTTTTTTATATATTTAATTGATATTTGAGTTTGTAGTTCTCTCTAGTATTTTATTTTTATATGTTAAATTGGAATTAAGACTTGTAGTCGTCTCATTTGTTTTATTTTTATTTGTAGAATTGGAATTGAGATTTGTAGTCTTCCATTATAATTAGACTAAATTATTTTGATTTGGTAGTTTGAATAGTTTTATTGTAATGAGTTAAGTATTTCATATACCTAGGTTTAGTTTACTAGAACAATTATAGATTAAGTTAGTTTCGATTGTTTGTTAAAATTTAATGATGAATATTAAGTTTGTGATTGAACAAATTAATTTTTGAATTAGTTATGAAATTTTTTCTTAAAATTTAATATATGATTGAACCCAATTTTATAGTTCAAATTTTTTTTGTTAGGTTTTATAGATAAATCTTTAATGAGTTTTTTTTATTGGCTCATTTTTGTATATCGCTCATGTATATGAATTGCTTCTTTAA